CTCCATCGAGCGGTTGTACGCAAAGATGGTGGCCAAGTACCGGGCTGATTCGCTGTTCAAGGCGACTGTGCAGCCGGATGACAAGAACTCGGAGAAGCACGTGCTGTTGGTGGGTTTTGGGACTCTTGTAATATCGGGGGACGAATTTTTTCGTATAAATCCAGAAATATGGTGATTTATTTTGTTTTAGACGTATATTGATAGTGTTTTTGATAAAATTTGGCTATATTCTATGTGGAAAACCATTTAGAAAACACAGAAAAACTGCGAAATTTTGAAATTTGGGCTGAAAAAAGGCTCATTTTGGCCGAAAAATTAAGATTTTTATATTTTTGCAAAAAAATGTAATGGAAGTTGAAAACATCGTATAAACTTTTCCTCTATTTATATGAGCAAAATTGGACCCTAATAACAAGTAAAACTTGCTATTTTAGGTAGACCAACCGGCGCTGAACCTGTTCGCCCGCGATTTCTACATCATGGCCGAGAACGAGGAGCGGCTGGCGTACGTGACCTTGATACGGTGAGAGTTCTGAATAAATTCGTTGAACTTCTCGGTAGTGACGTGCTGGTCCACCTGCACGCCCGGCCCGACATTGCCATCAACGACGCCAAGGAGATTATCGAGTTTGAGACGGATCTGGCAAATGTAAACTGTTTTTTTATGATGCCTAAACGTAAAATTTTACAAATTTCGAATAAAAAATACAAAAATATATATTTTTCGACTAAAGTACTTTTTCTGAGTTTTTTAGAATAGTTTTTCCACTTAAAATAAAGTTAAATTTTACTATAAACACAAAATTCCAGATAACAATGGCTGACGAGCAACGGCACGACATTGCCGAGCTGTACACCAAGCTGAGCATCGGCGACCTGAGCCGGAAGCTGCCGAACTTCAACTGGCTCCTCTTCTTCAACTCGATGTTTGAGGACATTCGAACAAAGGTGATCTACCTAATTTTTAAAACCAAAAAATAGAACGGAACAACCATCAGCTTCGACTACAGCACCGAGGTGGTCGTCTACGGCGTAGAGTTTTTGGAGCGACTTGACAAGATGCTACCTAAATACAACAAGCGGTAAGCCGAGTAATTCTTGCTTTTACGTCTGCTTCAGCCGCATCGTCAACTACCTGGAGTGGTGCTGGTTTTTCAAGACGATGCTCCGCGACCTGCCCGACCCGTTCGCGCTGACCATCTTCAAGTTCTACAAGACGCTGAACTGTTAGAACATCGTGAACACCTAAAAATATTTTTTTTAGTGATGAACGTGCAAAAAGTTCGGTGGCACGGCTGCGTGACTCGGATAAACTCGCTGATGCCGATGGCCACGTCGTCGATATACGTCAAGTATCATTTCGATCACGATTCGAAGCAACAAGTAAGTTTCTGGAGCTTTCGCATTATCGGGGGGGGGGTGTAAAGTCTAGAAATGCCTGATAGCGCAATAGTAAGTCTTTTCATCCTGTTTTTAGTAACATTTAGCCAGATTCTAAATAGAAAAACTAGCTGAAAAACTTTAAAACATTTAATAAATTTAAATTTTGGTCGAAAAGTCAATTGTTAGTAATTTTTTGAAAAAAGTTGTAAAGATTTAGTGTTTAGCAATAATAAAAACGCTTTAGAAACAATTCCTCAATTTATAATGGAAAAATTGGATATTAAATGAAAAACATTGGTTCCCCGATAATTCTAAAAAAATTTCCAAATCTATTAAAACCTTATAACCAGACCTTTAGGTTGAAGAAATGATCTCATTGATCATGGACGCGTTTGTCGACCTGTTGGTGCATGAAGACTGGCTGACACCGGAAACGAAGGCGTTTGCCAAGCAAAAGGTATTAAAATAGCGTCCAAGTTTCCCTAAAATTCAAAATCCATCTGCCATTTTCAACCCAAAATTCAGGTCAAAACGATGAAGCAGAAGATCGGCTACCCCGAGTACCTCAACGACGAGGTGGCCGTGAACAAGGAGTACGAGCATTTCAATGCTTACCCCGGAAATTACTACAAGACAAAGTTCCAATTCTACGAGCAGTACCAGAAGGACGTGCTCGAGCGCATCGTGCAGCCGGTCGACAGGGAGAGGTTCGAGAATTCCGCGAAATTCATCTGCCTTTTTTAGATGGGTCGCTGGCGCGGCGCTGGTCAACGCCTTCTACTCGCCGAATACGAATGAGATCAGTGGGTTTTGAAGGACGACGATGACCCCTTGTTTTGTTATAGAAAAGAGGAAATGTTTTTAAATTGTGGTTCTTTAGGATTTCCGGGGGAAACCAAATTTTTCGGCCAAAGCCTAAATTTTTTTCTAAATGCGCTGTTTCTAATGGTTTTTAACTATTCCTGAGGATAAAAACTACCCACATTTTAATTAAAAAATTTAATTTTAGGTCGAAAATCCTATAGACCTTTAGGATTAGCGGGGGAAGACCCAAATGACCATGTTCGCTTTTTCAAACATTTTCCTCTTTTTGAAGGTTTTTCTCTTTAAATTGTTAAATTTACTAAAAACAATGTGAAAACACTTTATATTTAATTACTAGGTCAACCGGGAAACCAGAAAAATTTGGTTCCCCCCCGAAAATCCTAAGAACCTAATTGTTTTTGCAATCCCTAAACTTAAAAACATTACAATTTGTATAAAAAAGCACGAAATGCCCAAATTTTTTTAAACGTTTTTCCAGCTTTTAAACCCTTTTTCCAGTACAGCCAGTAGTACAATACAGCCAAAATTTTATTAAAAACTTGCGTTACTAGGCATTTCCGGGCTCAAGGAAAAATTCGGATCCCCGGGGAAACCAAAGAACCAAACTCCTTTTTTAGTCTTCCCCGCCGGAATCCTGCAACCCGTTTTCTATTCCAAGGATTTCCCATCGTCGATGAATTTCGGAGGAATCGGCGTGGTCATTGGCCACGAGATTACCCACGGATTTGACGATCGAGGTAAGGAAAAAACTGAACGCCCAAAAACTATCGATTTAGGCCGACTCTACGACAACCTGGGCAACATCCGACAATGGTGGGACAACCAGACGATCGCCAACTTCGAGCGCAAAGCGGAATGCATTGAAGTGAGAAAATACAACACTCAAAAACTTCCTCATTCCTCCAGGACCAATACAGCAGCTACATCCTCGAGCAGATCAACATGCGCATCAACGGGCGGTCGACGAAGGGCGAGAATATCGCTGATAACGGCGGCCTGAAACAGGCTTATAGGTGAGTGGAAAAAAGTTTGCAAAAACGGTTCCAGGGCGTGGAAGCGGTACGAAGCGTCTCATCCTCCACCGGCAAGATTGCCAGGCGTCAACCTTACACATGATCAGCTCTTTTTCCTGAACTATGCGCAGGTGAGTTTAAAAAGCGTCAACTTACTTTCAAAAATGTATCGACGACGCGCGTAAAGTTCAAGCTATTAAAAACTCGTAGATCTGGTGCGGCACGATGAACGACAAGGAGGCGTTGCGCAAGCTGCGGACGTCCGAGCACTCGCCCGGTCCCATTCGAGTGAAGGGACCGCTCTCGAATTCGCAGGACTTTGCCCAGGCCTACCAATGTCGGCCAGGAGCCCCGATGAACCCTGAAAAGAAGTGTAGGGTCTGGTGATTTCCCCTGACAATCGTTAGCCCCCTATCTTTACCTTACTAGTAGATATGAATGTCCTTTGGTATGACGCCTCTCTGGGAATGACAGAACAGCGAATTGTTTCTCTTTGGTATGTCTCCACTGAAACCTAGCGAACCTTTGAGAATTGAATTTATATTGATAACCACTTTATGATTTTTCCCCTTGTCCCCCGACATTTGACAAATTCTATCCCAATATTGAACCTGTGAGATCGTCACGAGCTCAACCCACCTGGCCGATCCCCCGGACCGCCCTAAAGCCCCCGACCCGCGCATTTCTCTGTGCACTGGATGTACATTCCGTCGTTTTCACAGCTTTTCCCTCTTGTCACAGCATATTCGAAAATCTAGTCCCCCTTGACGCGCCCACACGAACCGCAACTTTTCTTGACAAAATGTGACGAGTGTTCCCCCGCGCAAATCTGGTGCAATCTGTTTGTTCTATGTATGCCTCTCTGCTTGCCAACGATAAAGATTCCGGTCATATAGCTTTTGGTAATCAAAAAATTTTATCGCAGACGATAGACAATAAGAATACATCGAAAACGGGGTAAAAAGCGGGCCCGTTGGAATGACTAGTCAGGTTAACAGTACAGAAATGCAAGGGAAGACTCGGCGACCATTCGCCTAGTTGGATCCGGGAGCCTTCATGTTGGTGAATGGAGGGAGGGGCTTGCCGTTGATAAGCGTGAGGATGTTGTAAATTCCGAGGATGAAGCAGGCGGTGGAGAGGATCTTCACCATTTTCGTTACCCCTTGGTCGAACGGGCCGGCATCTTCGGACTTGGCACCATCGAGCAGCGCCTTCGCGTAGGTGTCGACGCGTTTCTTCAGCACGGGATCGTAGAGGCCATATTTGCCCATCACCAAGTTGCCACATCGCGTGCCCTCCGGGAGGCGGGGAAGGATCTTGCCACCAGCTCCAAGCTGCCACTCGCCAGGGTTCAGCGGGTCAAAGTCCTCGAGCTTTGGTGGGGTCCTGCCAGCATTGGTTGGCACCGTCTGGAACGTAGCGGCTCGAACGGAGATACGTGCGGGTCCTAGGAAACGCGCGGCCAGCATCCTGAAACCAATGTTGCTTTCAATTCACAGCAGACCATGTCGATACTCTGTGGTAAATCTAATACCAATCAACCGTCGCACTTTCCAGTAAGTGATTGACAACTTTATGTAACTACTAGAAATTAGGAATTAGAAGGTAATGTATACAATTCAACATCAACAAGGCAAACAAAATCCTACAAGCTGGTAAACAACAAGTTACTCGTATATGCAAAATCAACGGGGTGTGGTCAAAGGAGAAAAGTGAGGTTTTACGGGCAAATGCGGCTAAGTTAAGAAGAGAATGGGTGATAAAGAGGCGGGCCTATTAGATTTTCTTGGCGAGGAACAGCGTGTGGTTGTCGGCGATCGAAGCCGAGATGATCTTGTAGCCGTCCAGGTGTGCGGACTTGATCTCACGAGGCGTTGGCACAACCTAGCAGCAAATATTAGAAAGTAAAATGCCAAAAACCTTGTCATCATCGTCGGTGATACCGAGTCCGAGTTGACCAGAAGTGTCGACGCCCCAAGCGTAGCCCTTGCCATCGCGATCCCAGGCCACCGAACAGGTCAGCTTTGCCGTCACCCCAGCACTAACTCCAGGTATGACGATTTTCTGGAGTTCATCGTACCTATGAGAGGGTTATACGTACTCGAGTCAAAACACTCACTTCCAATTCTCGTCGTCCTCCTTGGCGTTGTATGTGCCGAGGCCGAGAGCGTTGTCGACGTTGCGCCCGATTCCGTAAAGTTCGCCTACGACAAAATGATCATGTAACTGGAATCCAGTTACCTTCTTTAGATCGAACCACGACGTGTTGCACGCCTTGGTAGTCTGTCCATTCGTGACCATCAAACACTGGCGAGTGTGTGGGCAGGAGAACTCGCAGCTCTTCAGAGTCCACCTCAGTCTTCTTTCCACCCAAGGTCAAATCGACGCCCAGCTGGTTGTAGTTGTTCAGACCAAAGACGAATGTCCTAAAAATCAGGTGCACCACCAAAATTCAAGGTACTTGTGGTCCTCAGTCTTGGCAATAGTCCAGAAGCCCGCGGCAAAGATGTCAACGAAGGTGAGCGTATGGTTCTTGTTCGACGGATCGGTGGCACGCACAATCAGATGCCGTTCATCGCACATGTAGGCTAAAGACAAAACTAAGCTAGACTATACGCCATTACCTGCGCGGATGTGAGTTACGCGGAGTGAGCGTCCTAGCTGGCCCATAGAGCCGTCCCCGAAAGTCAGCAACTCGCCCTCTGCACTGAGCATAGCCAGGTGATTTTCTCCGGCAGCGATCTGAAAAATTGTTATTTACGGAAAATAATGTCAAGTTACCTTGACAATCTGCTTCTTTTTGTGATGGACAACAACGACGGGCGACTCGTTCATCTTGCTCAGAAGCGGGTGCACCTCCATCAAGCCAGAGCTATCCTAAACCAAGAACTTAGGAAAATTTGTAACTCCATACTCGCAAGTTGCCCCAAGCGATGACCGATCCCAGGTCGGTAAGAGCGGCAGAGAATGAAGCGCCAGCGGTGACTTGTACGATTCTGCCCTCCTTCTTGATGTCGTCGGTGAAAATGATGGGCAGGAACTGGTCGCTGGAGCCCTCAGCCTCCACGCCTTCTCCAGGAGCAGTGCCTAAACAAAATGTTGAAAAGTTGGAACAACAAAAACCCATACCTTTCTCGTTGATTCCACAGGTGTAAACCGTCCCATCCTTCGTCAGCAACAGCGAGTGCACGCCGCCAGCGACGACTTGGATGACCGGCAGATCATCATCCTCGACACAGTCCACCTTCCGTGGTTTCTTGCTGGTAGTGCGTCCCGGGTGACCAAGTTGGTCACCTTCACCGCACGAAAGCACCCGATCGCCAACCGCCGAATCATCCACAAAGTCTTCCCAAGTGAGCCGATGCTTGTGAGGAGCGCCGCCTAAACAATAAATGTGCATCTACAAGGAGAAAACGTCAACGTACGCTTAGGTGTCTTTGTGGCTGAAGCATTAGGGCTGGCCTCAACAGCGCTGCGCTTGCGGCCACGGCCGCTCTTCGGCACAGATGCAATCTTTTGTTCGCTGGCGCGGGCGGCGGCTCGCTTTGGCCTCGGCGGTGGGGTGCGCTTGCCGCCATCTTCCTGCTCATCAACCGGTTGTATTTTGGCACCCTACAAAGAAGCAATTAGGAATTAAAATTTTGAAAATACCTCATCGCCCTCCTCCTCTATCACGTCCATGGCTCGACCCGTCTCCGAGGGGACGTCCATAGACTGATCTTCCGAATCCTTGCCTGCCTCCACAGCGACTTCCATCGGCTTTTCAACGGTTTCCTCCGCCGGGTGCTTCTCTTCCGAAGACGGCTCGACATCCTTCGCCTCCTCGCCCTTGGCGTCCTCGTTCAGGAGGCTCGTTTCAGAAGCTGAGGGGGCGGCTGCATCGTCGACCTTGGCATTGGGCTGCGAGACTTCCATGGGCGCATCGGCATCAGACTGTCCCGGGGTGACCGAGTCTTCGGACGCCATTCTGAAAATCAGGAATTCGAAAATGAAGAAAAAAACATGAAACTGGAAGCGAGAAAGAGAAAAATTGCAAAAAACATTTGAAAAACGAAAGTTTTTCGGAAATACGAAAAGCATGGTACGAAACGCTCCGCATCACGCCATTCCAGGTTACGGTCAAAGGTCCACGTTAAGAATTCCAGCTAGTTCGTTAGTAGTAGTTTCCCGGGATTTTCGTCAACCAAAAAATTAGGAAATTTGCGCCAATTCGGAAAATGGAAGGAAATGTTGAGGTTTGGAAGTTTTCGCAGCTCGTAATGGGGGTAGTGGCTTATGGTCTTGAAAGGGGTCTTCACGGGGGCACACAGGTACTTGGAATGAATTTTTTAGGCTCGGAACTATTTTTAGAGAGGCCAAAAACAACGAGACGAAAGATCCGTGTGCCATTTTTCAAACTTTATTTATTATCTTTAATTTCTTTCGGAAAGCTTCTTCTGGGGGCTTACTTTTGTATAGTTTAAAACGTGACAAGACAAAAACTTTTAGCATTAGCTAACGGACTTTGAATTTAAAGGCGACTTCACTCGTCTATATTTTAACTAAAAAATAATTAAAAGTTCAGATAATAACGCTGACAAACTAATTTTAAGCTAGACTGGATTTTTAAAAGTTGCGGCGTTCTTTTAGAAGTGTAATAACAGTTATTTTTCGGTAGAGATCGCACGATAACCCCTATGCCCCCAGGTTTTTCGCTTTACCCAGCAACCACCGGATATTCTAGGCCTCATTAGGCGTTTTTCCTACAGAATGACTCGAACTCGGGCACACAACTCGTCATCGAGCTCCGCGCCCAACTCGCGCTAAGCAAGCCAATTGCCTTTTTCAGAGCCCACCCGATTGGCCTCGTTACTTTTCTTTCCTTCAAACGACACTTGTCACGGAATTTGCCAAGTAGCCAGAGACCCGGCGGGTGGCCCCGGAGGATAGGTCTGGGCCCTCCGCGTTGCCCTAGTCTTGGTGTGGGCCCTCCTTCTGGGGGGTGGGAGTAGAAATCTGGGGCCCAGGCCGGGGACGGCTCATTCACGCGGGCATTCCCCAGGCCCCCTCCTTACGCCCCAGGTACCGTAGTCCCCGCCCAGCCATGCTTCGCGCCCAACTGATTTGCCTGCTCGTCGCCGCCACGTTGATGTCGGTGGTGACGTCGGCGAGGATACACCATCACAAGAATGTGAGTTCGTTTTGAGGGCGGGCTGAGGTATAGCTTACCTCGCTCCTACTGTATCTCGGCTCCCCGTTGTGCTACCGGATTGTGAAGTATACCAAAATGTTCATCCTGGTCCGGCGAGTAGTTTAGGATACCTTACATCGCTGTAGACAAACAGGGAGCCGAAAGACAAAGTTCGGGCCGCCAGCCCGGCCAAAAAGCTCCTTTTGCAAAAGGTTTTGGGGTGAAAATTTCTTGGGCAGAATTTTACGCTGATTCCGATTCTGCGGCTGCTTTTTGCGAAAAAGCCCTGTTTCAAAAGTTATCTAGTATTTTATTGTGAAGAAAGTAAGTAATTCCCAGGGTTGACTAGCCCTCTATCAGCTCCTATAAACTTGGAAAACTCGACTTTTCGCCGAGTTTTATCCCTCTCCCAGTAAGGATAAGTGACGCCGTTGATTATGATGCGATTTCCCGAAAAGGGGTCAGCTTTTAGGCGTCCACCCGGGGCCACATGACCCAGCCAGCCCCCGTGTTTTCCAAGTGCATACTCGAGACCCCGGGGGGCGGCTGCTCGGCTCTATGGGCGCGAAGGGCCCATCTTAGATGCCACGCGATGCGGGGGAATATATATTCCGTAATATACAAATATAGAGGAAAAGGGGACGTGATTTCAGCGGCAGGGGGTTGCTTTTTTATGAGTCAACTTGTCAAAAACACGAGCGCATGCTGGGCGTAGATTAAGTCAGCGGAGCTTTGGTCAGATGGTGGGATATAAAACCCTATTTTAGTTTTTTTTAAGGAAAATTTGTAGGCAGAACTATGTGCTTTTGCCCGTGACTTCCAAAAAAATTTGACCGCGACCCGCAACGCGCGTTCCGCCGTTCTATCGCGTAATGGATTACGATCGAACTGAGCGTGCGTTGCGTGCCGCGGGGGTAGAAGAAAAATCCACAGCTATCTCTTTCTCGCACGCGGGGCCTGTTCCATTGCACAATGGAACGTCCGGGAATCCGTTGCGTGTCGCCGTTCTAGTCAAATCCATAGTTCTGACTTGACAAATCGATGAGCCATATTAACCTAACCCTAAGCCTACGCTTGGGTTCAAAATTCGCAAAATTGCCGGTGACCCCCCACAAACCCAATAACCATTAGGCATTTGATTAGCCTTGTTCGGGCGTCCCATTAGTGCTGATTGGGGAGGAGGGGAAAAACGTGTTCCACGCGCGGATTGGGTTGAAAGCGTCTACCATGGCCTGGAATCGAAGTATTGAGGGCGGAAAGTGGCGTACGAAGTATAGAAACGGAAATCGACACGTGGGGTTTCACCAGGGATAGAATTTATCTAAAAACTTTGTTAGAAACGGTTTTAGTAAGGTTACTTAGCCTAAGCTTACTTTGGGTTCGATCTAGTAGCATAAGCCGCAGCTTCAGCTTAAGGCTAAGCCCAAGCTAAGCCTAAGCCTACGCTAAGCCTAAACAGCAGCCTAAACCTAAGCCTAAGCCTAAGCCCTAGCCTAAGCACAATCTAAGCCCTTCCTCAATTTCTATTTCCTCCTATCACGTCCCCTTTTTTTGCAGGCACCCATCGACGACCAACACGTGCGCTGGGTGGATCTGCTGGAGAAGCGGGATATCGGCAAGAGTGAGTCCCATACCACCTTTTTGAATTCCAAATTTTTCCAACTTTTCTGGGATATCTGCGCAGAGTTACCTTCCGGAAGTATTTAACAGGGGAAGAAAGCTTCTAGCTCAAAATTCATCGATCTTTTTTTTGGTGGTGGCCCAACTTTCATTAAAGGGATTGGGCAAACAAGAGAGGGGCAGAAAAGAGACCCGAACGGGTTAGGGACACTAGAAAAAACGAAGAAATGTGAAATCAGAAGTTGGCAAAGGGCCAAATTGGCTAGGGGAGAGCAAAATAGAAACTAGGAAACTGGAAAACATCTAAAGCAAGTCAGGGAAATGATGGGAAAGCAGTAGAGGGAGTACTAAACCATTAAAACTTAGAAATTCCGAGCCCCTAATTTAGCTTAAAAGGATGCAAAACGTTCAAAAATGCACTTTAGAATCTCGAAAAATTCATAATTTTGTATTTTTACTGCCAATCAAGAGCATAAAAGTACGTAAATTTGTTAGCAATTATTAAAAGGACTGGGAAGACAGCAGAGAATAAAATTTCGCGATTTCACCAAGCAGAAGGTATTGGAAAGTCTTCGAGGGGGCGAAAAATGTCCTAACGAAGGGGTTTTTGACAAATTTAACTATATTTTAACCAGATAAACTTATTTAAAAAACCCTTGAATGTGATAAAAAATCCTGATTTTATGGATTTTTTACTAAAAACTGGCAAAAATTTGCGTTTAAGAATTGTAAAAAAAAAGTCTAGAACCCTTTATCTATTTATATTAAAAGTCCCCCGATAATGCACAAGAACCCATTTCTAACCTACAGAAACCCGGGTTTCCAGTGGGCTACGGCTGGAACGACTGCGAGTTCTCGCCGATGAGCTGTCTACTGCGTAGGCGACGCTCGCTGCCGCTGCGCAGCTTTGAGGTCGAGATGAACTGAGAGCCCAAGGAGAAGCTTCGAATTCGTCAAGCAACATCAAAAAACGAATTTGCCTGCCACCGCCACCACCAAAAATTGTCTTCAAAAATATCCACCACACCTTCCGATTCTATGCCCCCACTTTCGTTTTGATTGTTCACCAAAAAGCTACATTTTTTTGTCGTTTGGGTCCTCTGAATTTTCTTGAATAAAGTTTGTTATTGAAAAGGTTCTATAAAAATATGGTTTTTTTAAATAGATAGGATTAAAAAGCGTCCAACAATCGTATTTAACGAGTTTTCACCAATGAGAAAAAAAAGATTTGAATAGTTATAATAAAAAATACGTATGTAAAATACTATTATATTATTAAATTAAGGGATATTGATGTAAATAATGGTTGTACAAGTAATTCGATTAAAAGATATTGAAAAATGCGATTTATAAAGCCTTAAATATTGACATAACAAGAGTGACCGTTATATAATAAAAAATCTGAGTATAAGGTATTAAAATTCAAGTTATATACGGTAAGTAGTGGCATTTGAAAGAATAATTCGATTCAAAGGTTTCGATAAATGCGATTTATAGTTTAAAAAGAGTGCAAAAAACCAGCTTTACCCGCTTATAATGAGTTATATAAATTAATAAGCTCATCTAAGCATTAAACAAGAGAAAATGTCATATTTATAAGCATAAAAAACTATTTTTCTTTCCTTCCTGACTATTTTTTAAACATTAAAAATATTTACTTAGTTATAATGAGTTTCATACGAATATAAGTACACTTCTATTTGATAACAAAAAATATCGAAAATTTTTTACCGTAGCTCTAGCGTTAATAAAACTACTATATCTGAATTAAAAATATACAAAAGTAAATATCCTCAAAAACTCTTGACGGTGTGACGACCGAATACTCTCTCCTCCACAGCTTCCTTTCAAGTCGGCAGCGAGCATTTCAGAGGCAAAATTCTTTATTAAATAAGTTTTTAATTATACAAAATTATAGCATAATAATAATAAACAATATTAATCAAAAATATATACACGAATTACTTTCGAAAGTTGATGGCAAAGGGTAAGGGTAGGTGGAGCTGGGCAGGGGGGTAGGTTATACTTCTCCGCCCACCCTGGGTGGGCCCCCCCTAAGGGGGACAGAGGGGGGACTGAAAGGGGGGATGGTGGGGGGGCCCCCCCGGGGGACCCCGGGGACCCCCCAGGGACCGTGCCCCCACCCCCCTGAGGCATGAAGGCATGGCATCTACGAGTTCCATTCGCTATACCGAATTTTCGCTATACCGAATTTCGCTATGCCGAATTTTTGGTATACCGAATTTTCACCATGCCGAATCTTCTTTTGATAAGCGGTATGTTCCCAATTTTTTTTACTGTTTTTTTTCCAAATAGATGGGCCTAGAAAGTTAGAGTTAGCCTAGAAGTTTCCAAAAACGCAGGCAGATCGTGGGTCCCGTAGGCGCAGCAGATTTTCTGTTGCACCGCAAAGTCCCAGCCGATCTTAGTTATTAATATTAGTAGTAGAGTAGCAAAAATTCGGCATAGCGAAATTCGGTATAGCGAAAATTCGCTAAAGTGAAAATTCGGTATAGCGAAATTCGGCATAGCGAAAATTCGGCATAGCGAAAATTAGACATAGTGAAAATTCGGCATAGCTAAAATTAGGCATAGTGAAAATTCGGCATAGCGAAATTCGGCATAGCGAAAATTCGGTGGGGGGTGGGGGTGGGGGGTGGGGGTGGGGGGGGTGGGGGAGGGGAGGGGAAGAATCCCCGGGGGTCCCCCCGGGGGGGCCCCCCCACCATCCCCCCTTTCAGTCCCCCCTCTGTCCCCCCTAGGGGGGGCCCACCCAGGGTGGGCGGAGAAGTATAGGGTAGGTAATGGGAGCACAGAAAGAGTTTCGTATCCATTTGTATCGCGTCGTACACACCCGTAGCATCGCGGAAACACTATACAAATAACGGTGAATCATTGTGTACATTTTACAAGTTTTGCGGGATGTAAATTGGAGCATTTGGGATGAGAATTGAGAAAATAAACACACAAAAACACAGTGGAGCACTGGACTTGAGTTTTGGTGAGGGGGGCAGACCCGTAGTTGCAGAATTTCTTGGGAAGGTACGGTATTTTGAAAGGGCACCTTTTAGGGCGGAGGTCACATGTTGTAAATGGGGAAAGACGCGTAGGGAATTGGGAGCTAAAAATTGATTTTTAAGGGCTAGAAAATAGTATAATTAATGACTGGGTGCTGGGAAGAGGGCGGAGAGTGTGGTGGGGGGTAGTAGGCGCTGGCTGGCTTCCTGAAAATAATTAATATACCTTTAAACGTCGATTTTTTTAGAATATGGTAATTTTATCGGGGATATCTTCATATCAGTGTTATCTTTTTACTTTCTAACCCACCTGGATCTTGACCAGCGCGGCGCGAAGCTCCTGCTTGCTGGGCTTGGCCGAAAAATCGGTATCCTCGATGTTAGCAGTATTTGAAGAGGTTTCCTTGAGCATCAAGGTCTTCGGAATGACGATAGTAGCGCAACGGATCGAGGCGTCACTAAATAAAGTTATTAAAATGAATTAAAGCTAGGAATGTTCTAATTTTCATATACTTTTTCAAGCTTTCCACTACCAATTTCTTGATTTCAAAGGAGAGAAAACCTCGAAAAACGCTCTAAAATCGGCCTGTTTGGTCGAAAAACCTTATTTTTTGTATATTACATGTAAATGTGTCATTTCGAATGTATAGTATTCCATTCCTACAACTCACATTCTTCGCTTTCTCCACGTCGCTCCACTACCCGTCTTTTTCGAGACAAAACCTATCCGGGCGCCTGGTCCCGCGGCGATCACCTTCCGGTTGAGCGCGACGAAGCGGCTGTGCTGGTAGGAGCCGAGGTAGGGCTGAGAGGCTAAAAGACACCATAAGTTACCATAACCTCCAACTTACGCATGGAATAAACTGGTGGCAGATCTTTGACCATACGTCGGTAGATGTCACCCGGTTTCCGTTCTTTCCGGTTGGCCGCCGCCTGGATGTGGCCGGTGCGCACGTGGTCTTCGAGCTGTAAGGGGTTTGTATAAATTTTCGGTGTCGTATAACGTTTTTATAGATTTTAATATACTCTTAATCTCGCTTTTATGCTTTTATGGCTTCTTACCTGTTGATTCGGACGTAAGCTAGCATAAAAAATCTATTAAAAATACATTTAAGGTATCAAAATCTATATATTTAATTCTCAGCATAACAAACCTGTCGATTGGTGACAAATCGCCCGCGGCACCCATCCACAATACATTTGTAGGTGGCGGCGCCCTTGGCGTGTCGAGTCCGGAAGTGTTCGCGCAGCCATTCGTACTAAAAACAGAGTTTAGTATAGATTCTTCGGTTTTTAACTTTTCAAAACTATCAGAAAAGAGGCAAACCGGCTATTAGGAGCCCAATTTCAAGAGGAACTGGTCTCAAATTTCTCAAATTTTTCCTGAAATGTAGCTAAAAACGAAGGAAGATGACGAAATTTCGGCTTTATTGTGGTTTTTAAGATTAAAATCGAAAACGCCCATTGAACGTTAGTATAAAACCTTAATTTTGCTGATTAAACTATAAAAAAAACTTGTTTTTCGACATTTATTACAACGAAAATTACACGAAATTTTTTGTTTTGACGAAAAAGAATCAATTTCCGCTGGGAAAAGGGTATTGTTTTCGAAAAGGAACCGTCGGGGCAGCCTGTGCACAGGAGCGGCTTGTAGTGGGCTACAGGCTACAACAGACCGGGGAGTTTTGTTAGCTTTCATTAGCTTTAAATCTAGTTTTTTACTTAATTAAAGTTATTACAAGCTAAGTTAAGTCAAATTATAGCGTCACATCCCTTAAAAAGTACCCACCTTCCGATCTCCATCCCCTCGCGTCAACCTCATCGAGCAGTCCGCCCACTGGCATCCGTACGGATCGTTCTCATCGGAATCGCTGGCCGTTCGACTGTCGATAGGCTCTTCCCGGACGGCACCTCTTCGAGTACGCTTCGATCCTCTGGACAGTAGCTCCTTGGCCAGGTTGAGGGGTGGGCCCTCGGAGTGGAACGAGGCCACCGACCCTTCCCGGGACATGCAGCAGGTCGTTGGTGTCATGGACGTGTTGTGCGCGCTCAGGGGGGATGATGTGCTCCTGGAAACCCGGGATTTAAAAGGTGACACGGGGTTAAAGGGCTTGTGAAGTCAGGAGAAGTCGAGCTCGTCGAAAATCTCGGCTAATTTGGTCCAGAAATTTTTTTTAACACCATAATTTCACCAAATTTTTTACCTGAATCACGTGATCGTACAGCTTGTTCATGCCGCGTCCCTGATACCCACAATCGGCCCATTTACACCCGGTCAGCTCGTCATCAAGCCGTCTCCGCTTCCCGGTCTCCTCGGCCTCCCGCGGCTGCACCCGTTTGAGCACCACCAGCTCGGGCTGTTTCGGCTCGACGAAGATGTTCTCCAGCTTCTCCACCTTCTCCAGCACGGGCTCGGCCTTTTGGAGCTCGATTTGCTGCTGGTTTTCCTTCTCAATTTCTTTGTCAACTTCCACGACCTCGGGGAGCTGCTCAACACTCGGGACCTCGGATTCGAGCAGATCGGGGAGGTCGGGCATTTGGTCATCTTCGGCTTCGTCTTCAGGGGTTTCCGGTGGCGTTAGGTTATTCTGAGGCGGTGGAGCGACAAGGAGGGCTTGATACGAGGCATCTGGTTTGATGGCTTTCGGTCTGGGGAGATCGAGAGCTGGGGCTGGGGGTTCGTGTTCATCTACATCGTCGGCACGGTCGAGTTCGGGTGGAGGGGTGAGGATTGGGGGCTGGAAAATAGGGTTGGAAAAGGGTTTTGAAATTGAGAAAAGCTGAGCATAAGCTAAGACTAAGCCTAAAGCTAAGCCTAGGTCTAAGTATGCTTAAGTCTAAACCTAAGTCAGCGTACCCCATCAAAGTCGTCCTCGTCTTCAACATCTGAGGGTGGCTGAATCGACTTATCAAGCCTGGGCATATCCGGCAGCGGCTCTTCTCCACTACAGGAGGCTTTTGACTAAAATTCTGGATTAAGAAAGCGCGAGAGACGAGAGAGAGAGAGAGAGAGAGAGAGAGAGAGAGCGAGCCGGGGAGCGAGGAATTTCGAGTTTTTACTACGATCTCATTAATTTTCCAAATCTCGTTGATTCTTATGATTCCACAAAGAGAAAGAGAGAGAGAGAGAGAGAGAGAGAGAGATAGAGGGAGAGAGAGAGAGTGAGTGAAAGCGTGAGAGAGAGCCGGGAGCCCAAAAGTGCAACCACTTACCCAATCATCTTCGCTGGCCTGGCTGGTGGCCGGGGTGGTCTGGTGGAAGGAGGAGGGCTGAAAAATTCGTGGGTTTACCTGGCGTAATCTATTAAACAAGAAAAATTTTTATTTAACGGCTTAAATACCTATAGAAAAAGTAAATTTTCTCTGCGTAATCGATTAAATTTTTAAAAACAACTTTAAGTGTAAGCAAAAATGGCCAAGATTTCAGAGCGTAATCATTTAACCTTTAAAAATTAATTTAAAGCCGATAAACTCACAAAGGCTTGGCACTCCGGTTGTCGAAACGCCGCAACCTGTTGCTGCTCAACGACCGGAACCGGGCTAACGTACGATACGCTAGCCGGCTGCGGCTGGAGCGCAGCCTGGTATACGGCCTGCTGTTGGGCGACGTAAGGGTGGAACTGGTGTTGGAACTGGTGGCTGACATGGGCCCAGAAGAGCTGTAGCTGCTCAGGGCTCTGGAGCTGCGGCTGCATCGGGTAGGTGGGGAAGAAGCCCGGGTAGAAGTTGGAGGGCAGCATTTGCGGTGTCTTCTGGAAATTAGTGGAAGGTTAACGGCCTCGAAACTTAAAAAAAACACACATAAAAATGGAAGATTCCTAGCGATCCTGAGAATCCTAAGGAATCGCCGCTAGCTTCCTTGAGCTCGCAAATTCATGTTAGCTGTTCCTTCCGAGAAACCCACAATTTCCAAGAACAAATCCCGGATTTTGGATCTAGTCGTACTCTTGTTTTGCACGTAGCGATGGAAAAGGGGAAAACAAGGAATACCCGGAAAGGAATCGAGAGAGAGATAGAGACAGAGAGAGAGAGAGAATTTCGCGGAAAATGAAATGTTCACAGAATACGATAAATCATCAAAAATACAAGAATTCGAATTCCAAAAACATCAGGTCAAGTCTAAAGCTAAGCCTAAGCCTAAGCCTAACCCAAAACCAAAAAACTAAAGCTAGTAGGTTAAACCTGAGCTAAGCCTAAGCTTAAGCTTAAGTCTAAGTCTACGCCTAGGCTTAAACCCGAATCTAAACCCAAGCCTAAACTAAGCCGAGGCCGAAGCGAAGCCTAAGCCTAACCTAAACCTGTGCCTAACCCTAATTCTAAGCCTAAGCCCACACCTAAGCTGGCCCGCCCACTTTTCACAATGCCGATTACGCGCCGATTCAAATACGCGCCAAATCCACCTACCCCTTCCCAATACCCCGAGGGCACCTTAACTGACCTGCATTGCGGGCTGTTCATATTCCCTGGCTGCCCGTAGGTGCCGCAGTGGCTCAGGTAGGTGGGTGTAAATCGGATGGTTGAGGGGGTTCTTCAGGAATTCCTGGTAGGACCCCGATTCCATCGGACGGCACCCGCTGCCGACCGCCATCCCGCCAGGCTTGTACGGGTCTGGAAATCGAAGGTTTCACGGGACCGGGAACTCCGGAGTTGATAGGTTTTGACTTCAGTGGCCCTTTACAAGGTAGAAAATCCGAATTTCAGTGGCGATTTGGCTTATCTAGCCCTTGAAAACCTCCAAAACACACCTGGGAACAGGAAGACGGCGCCGCGCTGTGAAGGCGGGTCCATGGCTTCCCGACCGCGCAGAATCGCCTGCAAGCATTGGGTTCAAAATTTTTAAAGAGCGGAAATATTGTCAACGAGAGCGAGAAAGAGAGAGAGAGAGAGAGAGAGAGAGACAGAGAGAAAACAAGAAGAAGAATAGGAAGAGGAAGGAAGATTGATACTTAAGACAAAAAAGGGCTATTAGGCCATTTTTTTGTAAGACTGAAAGACGGACAGAACAGAAAAGACGTCAGTATAACTGAAAAATATTTCTAAGTAAGGCACTGAAAAATTACGTAAAGCTACAGTATGACGACTGAATCCTGCTTATAGTAAAGCCTCAGAATTCTTAAAAATTCTGGTATTTTGCCCTAAATCTCAGTAAATTACGCAAAACTACAGTATGACGACAAAACGAGTTACCGTAACCCCCGAGTTCTCATTCTTGACGCCGCAACAAATCCGCGTAATCCCAGATCCGAGTTCTCTGAGGGGCCCAAAAAGTGAATAAAATTCCCCCGGGGCCCACTCTCCCGACCACGCCCCGTTAATTGGGCCCCCGGTGGGCCCTCTCTCTGTCTCTCTCTCACTCTCTCTCTCTCTCTCTCTCTCTCTCTCTCTCGCTACTGACTCATTATAATCCGCCCTGTGGCTGCGCCCACCCACACCCGCCTGTTTTCCGGGGTTTTTTGGAGTGAACGTCACGCGCCTGTGTACGCAGAAAGGGAGGAGGGTGAATTACAGGAGGGGGGCTTCCCACGGGCCCACGTGCTCGGCAGGGAGAGGGTTACGGTAAACAGGGAGTACACAGGAAGCGGGTGTAGTGGATGGTATCGGGATAGCGGAAAAGATTCCGCATGAAAATGGGCTGTAAACAGGTGTAAATCGGAGCGCACTGTAGCGGTATCGCAGTAGAGTGCCTTCCAAGTTGAATTAAAGGCATCGAAACCGGCGCACTTAGGTGCGTAGTGTAGCGGAACATTTCGGCTTCCAAAGAAAAATAGCATAAATCTCTAAGATCTAAAATGTCATGGATTTAATGGCCCGGAATAGTTTGTAATTAGGAGCGTATCGTAGCGGAGCCTGTCGGAAAAATGCAGAAAATGCTCTTGGAAAGTTGCTAAAACAAAATGACATCTTTTTATTGACTTCTAAGCTTTCCAGGAACTTTTTGCTTTTTGCCGGGGTGTAAAGAGGAACGTAACGTAGCGGTGTTCTTTTAGCCAATTCCGACTCCAAACTATGCTGGCATTAGGTGTGTAATGTAGCGGAATCTTTGGGTGCTTCATCTCCTCCTAATTTTTTCGAATCTCAAAAAGTAGGACTCCCGGCGGAGGACAAATTTCCGGCTCTCATAATAATTAGCGGGTGGGAGGAGGGCCCATCCTACTGTAGCCAGTAATTTGGCGGAAATCAGCGGGTGTAGGATGTAAATTACCGTAGCTTTGAAAAGGTTGTGGAGATGGGTGAATGAGACGTTATTGTTTGTTTGGTGGTGGGAGTGTAGTGTAGTGAGAGAGGGCGAAAACAGGAAAAGGGCGCCAGAGTTCGCATCAAAGCTCACGCAGATGACTGAGCCTAAGCCTACGCCTAACCTAAGACTAAGCCCATGCCCAAGCCTAAGCCTAAGCTAAAAAACAAAGCCAGAGCTACGCCAAAGTACTTTTAACTACGTAATAATACGCTACAATACGTTCTACGGAATATTTTGTACTTTTTCGATACCCCAAAAACTAGATCAAACCCAAAAAGTAATCCAACTTTCTGTGGAAATCCAGCCGCGAGACCTGGAAACGCTGTCCGTAAGCTGGTAATTCGCGGCAATCCGTCGGATCCCCCGAGGGTTACGGTAGCCAGGGGCGCGGATTAATCTAGAGACCTTTGGTTGGCCACGAACTACGCAAAAGAACAGATTACGGAAAGTTCTCGGTGGGTGTCGATTGGATTATGTGGAATGCTGGGGGTGTTGCCATGTGGGATGACGCAGCGAAAAAAGGTGCGGATTAAACGTCAGTAGAATTCGGGGGAAAGAGGTGTAACTACGTAAAAAGTACGTAAAAATTGGCTTGGGCTTAGCTTAGACTTAGGTTTAGGCTCAGGCTTAGCTTTGAGCTTTTGGCGGTTCTAGCACGTCGGAATTTTTCAAGACGACTACAAATTTCCGCACCTAAAAAGTGCCGTGAAGAGAGAAAGAGAGAAAGAAAGAGAGAGAGAGAGAGAGATAGAGAGAGAGAGAGAGTGAGAGAGAGAAAGAGCAATTGCTCACGATTCTCTCACATCAAAATTTATGGGCAGCGCCAACACAATACACCCCCAAAAACGGAGTACCATTTGGTGTTCTCGGGCGCTACGTATTTTTTTGAACCCTACAGTATCCTAGGGAAAAAATTCAGCAATTTTCGCGTTATAAAATTCAATTAAAAATTCAGCGGCTACCGTACCCCTACCATTTTGTTTTTTTTTTTTGGCAAAAGTGACCCGGCAGGTGAAATGAAATGGCGCGATCAGGTCAGAAAATTCGGCTGCAAAGTACCACGGGTTTAATTGGCGTGTTTAATTAAATGAAAGCAATTGAATTTAATATAAAGAAAATAAGATCTTTAAAAACAGTTAATGACACGCTAGAAAATACAAAACAAAAACGTTGAAATTTAAAGTTGAAAAACGATAATGTTATACCGCAGGATTCCGGTTAACTTCGGAATCTTAAGCCTAAGCCTAAGCCAAGCCCAAGCCTAGCCTACGCCTAAGCGTGAGCCAAAGCGTAAGCACAAACCTAAGCCAAAGCCTAAGCCTAAGCCGAGGCCCAAGCCTAAGTCTAAGCCTAAGCAACCGAAACCGAGTAAAATCATGAAAACCGAGCCCTACTGTCCAAATGCCCCGAGGGCACGAACTGACCGTCCACCTGAAAAAAGGGGGCGTGGCTTCTGAGGGGGTGGATTAGCGCGTTTCATCTGGTGGCCCCGGGCCCTCATTAACTCGGGTCTCGTGGCTGAGAGAGAGAGAGAGAGAGAGAGAGAGAGAGAGAGAGAGAAAGAGAGAGAGGGAGAAGCAGAGAGAGAGAGAGGCAGAGAAACCAGTCACTACAAAAAACAGCGGCCCGCGGATTCTGGGAACAGCCTGCTGGTCAAATTACCGGGGGATACGGTAGGTTCCGAGTGGTATTCTGTACTTCAGCGGAGTGGACCCGCGGGCGAAAGTTGTGTTTTGAGCTGATTTAGGTTGTCTAGACGCAAAATTATAAGTTCTGAAGTTAAAGGGATGCTAAAAAAATGAAATGAAAAAATCGTTGTCAAGTAAGCCTAAGCCTATACCGAAGCCTAAGTCCAAGCCTAAGCCTGGCCGAAGCCCGAAGCCCGAAGCCTAAGCCTAAGCCTAAAGCCTATAGCCTAGACAGAGGGAGAGAGGGAGAGCGAGAGACAGAGACAGAGACAGAGACCGACAGGCAGAAAGAGATAGATGGAGCGAGCCCTCATTTTTCGTCAGCTACCGTACCCGCCCAGGTGAAGTTCATTTTCTGTGAATCAGCTGGCCCGCGCGAAAAATCAGCACGTGGCCCGCCCGGTCCCAGTGACGACCATACAAATTGCCCGGCCGTCTGGGTAATTAAATAGAAAAAGAGGAAAAATCAGGGGCGTAAAAAGTTCTCCGGGGTATGGTAGAAGCGAGAGAGAGAGAGAGAGAGAGAGAGAGAAAGAGAGAGAGAGCTTACTGGGAATATAGATACAGTACAAATAATAATATGGTGGTCGGGGCTGTGCATGGGCGGACGATTCGGCTTCCGTCAACAATCTCTCGCTCTCTCTCTCTCTCTCTCTCTCTCTCTCGTTTTCTTTCTCTCTCTCGCTCTCTGACCCAAAATGGACTATAAGCCTCAACGGAATACACCCATTTACGGTGTTTTTGGGTTGATGCCAAAAATCGGGTCCGCGGATTAGCGCCTCGGGGTCGACCCGAAAACACACAAAAATGAATGGGAGTTTGGACTATGAATTAGGGCTAGAGCAGGCCTAAGTCTAAGCCTAATCCTAAGCCTAAGTGAAGTCCAAATCGAAAATCAGAGAAAAACTAAAGAGAGAGCGCGAGTGAGTGATCGAAATAGAGCCAGAGAGCGAGCGAGAGAGAGAGCAAGAGGGAGCAAGAGAAAAGGATGATTTCATTTGACTTGCTTTTAAAGGGCCAGTAAAGACAAAATTAGAAAATTTTTGATGCTCACTTCTCATCGGAAACGCATCCTTATATACCCTCCAATTTGGCAATACTCCAGGCACACACAAAGTGACATTTCCAGGGCCGGAAAAACATTTTCGAAATATGGCCTCAGGCCCGGAAAGGGGGAGGGGGGGGTAAGAACTGGAACATTTCATGTGTCAAATGTGGTCAGACGGAAATCAGCAGGTAAAATCCGAAAGACGGACTTTGGCGTGTAGCGGGGTGGCCGGTGGGATTCTCGGAATGGAGCCAAGATTTCTGTGAGTTTTCCTAGAATGGGCCTGTAGTCGGCGAAGCAGAAGGGAAAGCTAAGCCTGAGTCTAAGCTTAAGCCTAATCCTAAGCGTAAGACTGAGTCGAAGCCTAACCTAAGCCTAAGCCTAGCTTTTTCCACTTTTAAATGGATAGGAATACAGGGCCAATAAAGAACAACCCTCCAAAAATCGGGTGCCCTTTAGTTTTCCGTTTTCCGCGACAATCCGGGGGTACGGTATCGCATTAGAATGGCCGAAAAAAGCTAATCTGCGTGACGCGTACGGCTTATGGCCCACAGGGGGGTCCCGAGGGGAATCCCCTCGAATTTTGTGCGGTACGGTAGGGGGTCATTGTATAATGAAAAGTGCGTAATTGCTTTATGTCGGAATCTTAGAGCATCATCGAATGTGCAAAAATCAGGGTACTTTGGCACCAGAGTACAAATGTAAAGTGCAACATGCGCGGCTAGGCACCGACATTTAGCGTACAAAAAAATTGTTATTGAGAGAGAGCGAGAAAGAGAGGGAGAGAGAGAGAGAGAGAGAGATAGAAGAGAGA